TCGAATGGTGAGGGGGCTGACTTCGGCTAGCCGTTCGGCTGATCCTTCCTTATCAAGCTGCCATGGGATGGCGGCGTCAGCGGACCGCGAGGGTGAATCAGCCCGATCACGTAGAACGGCGTGTTGCCGGTATACGAACGCATAACATTACTCAGTGCAAACTCTACGAGTGGCAACATGGCGCTCCGGCGCCTCAAAGTCTCAGCGCAGACGCTGTGAAAAATGTCTTCGATGACGCGATCCACCCTCTCGGTTTGACCATCGGTCTGCAGATGATCCGCTGTCGACATATTCAACTTGGTGCCTAGCACATTAAAGATAGTCGACCAAAAATTTCCTGTGAAACGAGGGTCTGTATCAATGACAATCGACTCTGGGAGTCCGTGTTGATGGAAAACTCGATCCACGAACAGCGTTGCTGTACCGACATCGTCGATGGTGTCTGGCACCACCGCCAAATGAGCCATCTAGCTCAATCGGTCGACGAATACCACGACACCGGCGTTGCCTGCCGAATCTTTCCAAACACAAAGTCCAAACTCTTGGACTGCTAGCACCCAGTGGATACCTGTAAGCTGGCCAGCGGCGCAGTCGCATTTAAAGCGGGTTTTACCCGCTGACACGTCTCACACGTGCGCACATGGGTGCTCGTCCATTTGTACAGCTTGGGCCACCATTAGTGGTGACTTACAGAGTTGCATGTTTTCTCACGACCGAGATGACCACTGAGTGGCGTGTTGTGAGCCTCATAGAGGATGCGGTGTTTCAAATCCCCACCATGAGGACCACAATTTGTGATGTATCCCTTGAATCGGTACTATAATATAGCAAGCCGTAATTCAACGAATATCGGTGCAATCGTGCACGCAGTCTTGGTGACAGTTTTTTGTCCGAGTCTCCAAATCCCTCGCTCCCGAGAGCCCGTAGCAGCGCTACACACATCGCATCACACGCATACCCGGTGCAGATCAAATCCGTCACATACGACGTTACAGTTGTAACATGAGCAAGCTCATAGTTTGGTCTGCGTGACAACGCATCAGCCAAAGCATTTTGCTTTCCCGGCTTCTACTTCACCTCAAAGTTATATACCGCAAAGAAGGATAGCCATATAGCCATCCTCTGCGAGAGGTGGGGCGACAGAGTCGCAGTGCGTAGTGACGCATGATC